CGGGGTCCAAGTTGAGAAAGTTCTCAAAATGACATATTTGGGAACTGTGGTAACGGACCAACTAGATCCAGACATAGAAATAAAACGTAGAATAGCAATGACTAAAACTACTTTAATGAAAATGAAGTAATTTCTTTGCAATAACCATCTCAGTTTAGAACTAAGGCAAAGAATGGTTAAGTGCTATGTTTGGTCTGTACTTTTATATAGTGCTGAAGTATGTACGCTAAAAGTATCGATTATGAACAGAATTGAAGCATTGGAAACGTGGGTTCATAGAGGAATGCTGAAGATACCTTGGACAGCAAGAAAAACTAACGAAGAACTACTGAGGAATGTCAACAGAGACAGAGAACTGCTAAAAACTGTTAAACATCGAAAAATGTCTTATCTGGGACATATAGTAAGCGGAAGTCGATATAAAATTTTACTGATCCTTAAAGGCAAAATAGAGGGCCGTAGAGATGTAGGAAGAAAACAAGTTTTTTGGTTAAAAAACTGTAATGGACTCAGATACCAAATGCAGGACAATTATTCCATATTGCAGAAGATCGAGAAGCCTTCGCAATGGTGATCGCCAACATAGGACAGTACTGATGTGGCACGCGAAGAAGAAGATGGATATACTCCCAGAAAGACGTCGTCATCATCATCAAACATTTTCTCTGTAACTGTAAACCATATTTTTCAATAATTTTCTCTAGTTCCTCGCTTCTTTTATGATAATAAAGACTGATAATTATTTTTCCATTCTGTGCAGAACTTTAGAATACATCACCTAATTTATCTATGAGATCCGAAGTATTTGCCTGTAGCATATTTTAAAATCCTCTAGCTCTTTATGTAAATAATGGATAAAGTAAAAATGACAAAATTATTACTAAACTAAACCAAAACTATACTAAAACTATAGTGTATTTAGCGTATCAAAAAAATTTACCTATCTTGTAGGAATACTAAGTTTTGCAGAGTTGCCTTACCGTACTAAAGGTTGACATGCACAATCCTGATTGGGGACATTGGGACTTATTAGGGGCAAATAACCGAGTAGCCAACTCTCTGCAGGAACATAGCATCCGCAGAACAACTCTTATTGTATGATGAACAAATTGTGGTGAAGCTGTCTTGTAATTTATCGATTAAGCATAATGTAGGTGTGCTTGTGAGCTTTATGTTTGGTTATTGACACCTACAAGCTCTACTAAGATTGTGTGTGCGTTTGTATACGTGTAAGTACAGATCCGATGTCTCAGTTGGTCAGTTATAAATAATTAATTTATTTTACTACTATCTCCCATATCTAACTGTCCTATCTTCCATAGGTGATCCTGTAGTAGCCAGTAGGTTGTGGTTTGTTAGGAATATCTGTTCAATATACCCATATAATGTTACTTTTTAAACGTTGGGATGGGCCTTATCGGGAAAATATTTTCCGATATACTTATAAGCCGTGATCTATTAGCTATTGAATATGCGGAGTACGGGATGACAATTTCGGTACCTAGTTTGTGCCGTATGAAGTAAAGGAGAGTTTAAACTCACAGTATCATAGTTGCATGGACGTGAAGATGGTTCAAGACATTTTTCACTAAATTTTGAATTTTCTAAAAAGAAATGCCAAATATGATAATGAGACAATGAAAATTGTATTGTTTTACAGGTTTTTGTAAAATACATAATAATACTGACCTTTCTGATCTAGAATATTTGCTGGAAATATGTTCAGTGCACACGAATTAAGGATGAATCTCAATAAAACCAAATGGACTGAAAAAAACCAAATATCTGAAATGATAAATAATTATCTTCAATAAACATAAAAATTTAATTAAAAATAGTTTGCTTTTAAAATTGTATATATACCTTTGACAAGATCGCCAATATTATTATATTAACTTTGGCAATATTCAAAAATAGAACATAATTTTTAACACAGTAATATCCACTATGCACAACACTTCTAGGTGTTTAAAACGGATGGACAGACACATATCTCTGTTTTAAACTGTGATAATACTGAAAGGTGCGAAAAAACATTCTTATATATATTTCCGAGTCCTAAAATTAAACACATAAATTAACTAAACTTTATCTTTAAGTTAAACTAAAATCAATTAATTATTTAGTTTGAAATTTTAGATCTTTATGTGCTTTATTTATCACAAGGTATTATGTTCTGAAAAATAATTTACCGCGTATCTTTACCATTCGAGGAATATTAGAAAATGTGTAGAAAAACATATTCCAAAAATTAACCTTTAAAAAGTTATAGAACTTCTACTGAATTCTTAGTAACAATAGAATTGTCAGTAAAATAAATCTTTAATTAACATAAAATAAGTGTATACTAAAATAAAAACTACTTTTTATTTATTTATAAGAACAATACCCTTGACATCAATCGCAAGTTTCACAAATGCGTAATTTGAATCTTATATAACGAAGCCGATACGAGGTATATTGTATATTGTAAAACGAATAGCTCTAACATGTAGGTTAATTAGATTTATGTCTTGATAGGAAAGATGTGTAACACCGTCTTGGTACAAAAGTGGCCGCAATGCGGAAAAGAAGAGTTTCCACCGTGAATTTATTTTATAGCTAGAACGAAACAAAAATAAGTAACTAACGAATAGTTTCTACATAATCTTACGAATTTCTTTAACATTAATTTTGATAGATGTATTGAATGTTCCGCTACACATACTGGATTACGTAGTTACGTCCGTATATAGTTATTTTGATAACTTAACCCCCTCTGTGGCTCAGTGGTAAGAGCGCCTGCCTTTAAACCTAAAGGTCGTGAGTTCGAATCCCACCTAGGTGGAAATTTTCGTTTATTAAAAAAAAAATAATAAACGAAAAATTATTTCTATCCTTGTGTGATCGGTACACACCGGAGGGACTGCAGACGTTCGGATACAATTAGCGTCTCTTAGCAAAGACAATGACGTCGACTTTGCTAAGTGTCAAGACTCTACACACACAAACACACACACACACACACACACACACACACACACACACACACACACACACACTACATTAATAAACTTATCTTGATTGAGACTGGCTAAATGACAATTGTCCAAGCCAAAACACACAAAAAAAAATTTGATAACTATTATTTACGACGGGAATAGATTTTGTTTCGATACAACTAGTGGCTATCCCGCTCTGAAGAGACCTAAAGAGGTCGAAATACGTATAAGCGGCTTGGCTCTGCTCTGTATTGAAACAAAATTATATTACCGTCATTATGTTTTATTTCTTTACTCTGGGGTACCAGAAATTGAAATTCACTACGAATTTTGGCCATGATGAACGGCATGTGCAATGCAACTGTAGATTCCCTTGCCGAGTAATTTATCAAACTGTTTGCTTTTGCAAGTGTTTTTAGAAAGCACATTGGTAAAAATTTGAATTCGATTTCGCCAAATCGAAATCTTATGATTTCTCTTTTTGATTTTTTTTGTTGTCCTGAAAACCATCAGTTTTTTTCTAACTTTATTGCCACAAATTGGTCGCATTGCTCCTCAAGTGATCATTTCTCAAGTTAACACATTACTGATGACGAGAAATAGTCAGAACAAATACGTATGACAGGTCGTCTTCCGTCGATGTGCCTATGTTCCATTTTTTGTTTATCCGTGTGCGAAACAATACATTTTTACTACCTATATAAAGAATAGCCCAAAAGTTTGGAAACGGACAATTATCTCATAAATTGCTAGTCATACTTATACAAAATTTTTGGATACGGAGATTCCATATTTAATATTTGCAATGTTGCCAGATTTGCCGATATTATTGGTAACTTTGATTTTCAAATTCATCACCTTGTATATTCAGTCAATATTGAAAGCTTCTATTTAATACGAGTTTAACCATATGTAACACTTATGATTTTATGTAGTCTGGAAGGTCTTAAATACATTTACTATTTTCAACTACATTAAAACGTAACAATTGATAGATCCCAACATTTTTTAACATAATGGTTACTTTATAAGTGTTCAAGATGTGCTCCATTTGTGAGTTGTACAGTACCCTAATCGATGGTAGAATGCGTATACCACATTTCTCCATGATTGCCTAGAGATTATTCGAGATTCATCGATGCCTTAGCTCTGCAAGACTTGCTGGTTTAGTTTTGTAAACTGAATTATGCAAGTATCTTCAATAAAAATAATCTTTAGAATTGAAATCAGTTGAAGGTGGAGGCCATTCAATTCTACCTCGTCTACCAATCTATCTTTAAGGAAATATCTCATCTAAATAACGCCGAACATTTACACCAAAATGAGCTGGAGCTCCATCTTGCTCGTACCATATCTGATTAAAAATTGGGCCCCAAACAAGTTTCTCAGTGTAGGTACAATTTCATTTCTAAGTAACATTTTGTAACTATCTGACGTTAAATTTCCTTCGATAAAAAATGGACAATTAACTGAGTACCCACTATACCTGACCATACATTTAATTTTTGTGGTCTTTGAGTATGGTTTTCACGCTTCCAGTGTGAATTTACGTCACTCCAGTACCTTAAATTGTGTTGATTTACACTTCCACATAGTGTAAAGGATGCTTCTTTGGAAAAACATATTCATTTTGTTAACGAAATTTTCATTTTCAAATTTATCCATCATTACCTTAGGATTCGTAGAGTAGTCTGCTCGCCAGGATGTAATCGGCGAGCATGTTGAACATTTAAAGTGATTTTCTCAAATTGTGATTCTCATTGGTCTTTATTAAAAATAAATTTACCTATTCCCCAACTGTTAAGTGACATATTTCTTGTTTTAAACCATTTTTTTTCGTCAATATCGTCTTTCTCGTTTCAAAGATATTTAATTGGTTCCATATTTTATCCTAACCCTGTACAGCTAATCATATGCATTTTTCAACGCATTGTTGGATAAAATTGATGTTCCTATCACTGGCCTAATTCTGATAATACGTAATGTGAATGTAAAAACAAACTTAATTTTTCGCTGATCTTGACATGCTAACACTGAACGTGTCCGAGTCCGAGCTATTTTTATCCCAGTTACAACTCCAAAGTTTAGTGTTTAGTCCATGAAATAACGTTAGCTAATGGTATTTTAAAAGCAATTATAATAATAATCAAATAGACCACCATTAATATATTCGCAATAATGATAAATGTCTAAGAAAACAAGTGATATCAATTACCTTTTGTTGTAAACTGATAATAATTACTTTTTGGTTTAATATTATTAATTATTTGTGTGTGTCGGTCAGTTAGTGATCAGTGTCATGTGCCAGCAGGAACGTTGTGGCCTACTATTCGTTTGTCAAAGTGTCGATGTTTTCGTGGAATAATTTAGTGAATGTTTTGGCTAGATTGTTGGGAATCTATAGGACAGCATTAAGCATGTAAGTCGTACCTATGCAAAAATTTTCGTTGTAGGAAAATAATTGAATGATGTTTACGTATGATTATTAGATACTAGATGATTGGTACGGATTATAAAAACTAAGTAACCCTTTAATCTGGGGATATCAAGAGATACAAAGAATCCTTAGTTTTAGTCTTTAATACCATAATAAAACATTTAGTTATTTAACATTATCATAATTATACAGTATAGTCCAAAATTAGCAGTACTGAACTTGTAATTACTTTATTTAAAAAAAAATACATATTATTGACACTTTATTGAACATGTTCTAAATGAGCTCCTCACCTTTCAAGAAAGACTTCATACCGATATTTTAGATTTCCCGTAATTTTATGGTATAGAGGTTGTCTTAAGTCCGGGAAGAAGACTCTAACGGTATCTTTTAACTAATTAATGATTTGTGGTGCCCGTTTAAAACGGCAGTTTTAGCCATGCCCCAAATGTTTGCGTCTGAAGATGTTAAGTCTGGATAATGTGCAGGATAGGGGAAGTCAGTAAATCGTGAAATGAATTTGTTTGGAAAATGTCAATGAAGAAATTGATGAACTGTAACAGCAGTATGGCAAGTGGCCACATTCTGCTGAAAAAATTGGTCTCGAAATTCCAAATTATGTACAAAATTAACGTAGATCAGGGATAAAGCATGTTAAAATTTGTATGTACCTCTGTTGATTAGATGTGACTTGCCTACCATTTTCTTCGATAAAGTATGGACCAATGATTCTGTGTCTTGAAACTACACACCAGACACTCCCTTTTGCGCTATGTAAAGGAACTTCTTGAACTTCATCTGGTCTGGCAAAGCCTAGAAATCGATTTGTGCGGCAATTTACATGGCTTGACAAATGAAAATGTACTGCGTCTGAAAACCATACATTTTTTTAAAAATTCAGGATTTTCATACTGTAATGCGAGAATTCTGGCACAATATTCCTCTTTACTGTGATAATCCCTGGGATGTAATTGATGATGTACTTGAATCACATACGAAAATGCACCCAACTTCTTCAGGATTCTTTGCAAGGAAGTTCGTTTTAAGCCAAGATACAACGCTGTTCTTGTCTGGCTGGCTTTCGGATTTTCCAAGATTTGCTCAAAAACACGTTCGTGGTTATCGTTGTTGTTAACTGTCCTGGGACGCCCTGAGTTTCTTTTTCGTTGACACAGTACATTAGCCTTATTTCTAATCTTTTCAATAACCTTCAAAATTACTGTACACGTACTGCAGACTTGCACTATTACGTCAGCCGATTCCATAAGAGCGAAATAATGTTCCATAAAAAACACGTTCTCCTCTGTACTTTACACTATTTTTAACAATTAGGCCTTAATAATTAATTGTTTAAGAATTATTTGACAGGTCTATACTAGTTAATTTGAATATGGTACCGCGCACAAAGAGACATCTATGTTTCAGTTTCAGTACTGTTTATTTTGGGCAATATTCTATTATCATCAGAATTATAATTCAGTTTTTTTATTCTATATTTATATTTAATCTTAATTAACAATGCTCAATTATTAATACTTATTCGTTTTGTGGAACTTTTTCTTTCTTGTATTTTTAATTTTGGAACTTTTCAAAAACAATGTTCTTCTGATAATTTTCATTATTTGATTGTACCTCTATTTAGCAAAATGAAGAGGGACGGTCGAGTATTTCGATCAATTTGGATTGGATCGAAAAACTAAAAACATGTTTTCAATATTTTTTTGAAATTTATCGAATGACACCAAACAGCATTCCCTAGATCCACTCTCTGGGGTGGGGCAGAAGGCAACAATACAATTTTAAATGGGAACTTGCAATTTTATTGCAGATTTGGATTTATTATGCAAAAATAGATACCTCCTATTTGGGAAATTTTTGCGAATTGTTGGCAGATGACGCTATAATCGGAAAAATACGGTTTGCCTAGATACCCTGAATAGAAAAATTATGGAAACGGTCTAATATCAAGAGAAATATACTGTTCAATAAAAAACCAAAATCACCGATTTTTCAAAAATCTATCGAACTACATCGAATAGGATTCCTCATATCTACCTCCTAGGGATAGGATGGGGGGTAACTTTTAAATCTTAAATATAAACTCCCATTTTTTATTCTATATTCAGATTCGACGTAGGCGTAAAAACTGTATTCAGTACCAAAAAATTAGTTTGTATACTTCCGATCTGTATTTTTTGCAATTACAGCGCCATCTATCGCGAATAGAAAAAAATTTAAATTGTTTACTTTTTTATGTACAATCTGAATTTTCAAAATTTCTCCCCGCTCTACCCCCATTACCAGAGGTAGACTGTGGGTCATGCTGATTTTGCATTTAACAATGTATTTCTCGGGATATTACACAATTTTCATAATTTTTTTTATAGCGTATTAGTATAAATCGTTTTTTCCGATTATAGCGCTATCAATCAACAATCTGACAAAAGTGTTTCAAATAAAAGTTACTTATTTTTTCATCAGGAATCCAAATCTGTAAAAAATGGAGTTCCGATTTATGATTTCAAAGTTGCCCCTTGTCCCATCCAAAGGGGGTAGCGGTAAGGGAAATGTTTCGTTTTTCGGTTACGAGTGGCTTACGAATATAACACGATAGTTTCCTGTGTGTTGAGCCTTAGGTATAAAAGAAAGGACCAGAGTTAGCTAGAGTTTGATAACCTGGTTTAACCTAATTTACCGATGCTTATATTATTCAGGCAGTCTATTTAAAGCATTCGAATATTTTTGAAATAGCTTATTTTTTCCCGAGTGCAAGCTTGAAGCGCGTGATAATCAAACATCTTTTGGTTTGGGTTACCAATTTCTGCGATATCTATTATTATTTATTCTAATTTTTTGGTTTTTTCTTTTATATTTTAATTTTTTGTGGATTAAGTTTTCATTTATTAAAATTTTTCTTCTTCTTCTGTATAGTATGTAGGCTTTAAAGCCTGTTTCTTCTTCAATATTTTAAATCTTTAAATACAACTCTTACAGATAGCACCCATTATTCTTCTTATTATCTTTCGTTCACACTTCTGCAAGAAGTGCAGGTGGTTTGCATGTATTCTGGAGATATCCATGTTTCTGGTTCATATGTGCATACTGGTACGATGAGTGTTTTACATATTGTTAGTTTGACCTTTTGGCTGTTCTCTTTTATTTTGAAATCCATAATTTGTGCGACCAGTGAGAAGACGGAAACCACTTCTTAAGCCTTTGTTTGATCCGTGCTCTCAAATACAAATCGTCAGCGTAAGTCATAATCTGCGTTAACTTATTCAATGATATTGTTCCCTTTTTGTGTAACTGGGCATCTCTTATAGTTTTTTTTTAGAGGAGACGCGCCAGCGCTTCTTTCTGCCGTAATCCTGCATATTTTTCAATGCTTATGTCAGGTTCCCTTATATTTGCTCTCTAAAAATAACTGTAACTTTAACTTTAACTCAATATTTTGACAATTTTGTGTAGGGTCTTTATATTTATACCCATCAAATTTACTAAGTGAAACAGACGTATCTCGCATAAAACTGCTTAAAAACTGCTAATAAAATATCACTTATCTCAAAAATAGCTGTAAAACCTTATCGAACTTGACTTACTCTATTTTCCTAAGCAAAATAATTAACATATCTCAGAGATAAGTTAATTTGGCTTAGGAAATAAGATAAAATAATCTGCACCTGCGTATTTTATGCTTAAAGGTGAATAGGTGGTGTACAAATCAGCGAGGTTTTTAGAATGTACGATTTTGTTGGTCTGTTTTGAGTTTTTAAAATTTGTGTGGATACCTTAAGAGTTTCATAAAATTCTATCGCACCCCCACCAGACAAGAGAGGGACGCATATTCCACATAAACTGAAGGACCAAGCAATTCGTGACCCTATTATATCCTACAAATGGTCAATTTCTCATTACAGGAGAGAACATGCTCCCCATCGACTTTACTTACCCAGCGATTTTAGCTTTTCTTTGATGCATAAAGATTACATTTTACAAAATCAAGAAACTCCATAGTCATACGAAAAATACAGGGTGGTAGCAAAGCAACTTAGTATTTCTATTGTAAAATTGGAATATGAAGAAATTTGCGAAATTTGTGAAACTTGCAACTTGTACAATCCCAGCCATAAATAAGATACCATTGACAATGAATGTGGTGGATGCAGAGAAAGAAAGTTTTACATAGAAAAAGCCACAAAATCACGTGCAAAATATTGTCGAAAAAGACTGCAAAAGTACCGTTACAATTAGTATAAGATAGTGTGTAGATTTGGAGAAGGTTATATTGCTGCCAAGATTAGAAATGTTTAAAACCGCAATATTCTGCAGTATTTCAGTTAGGAAAAAACAAAAATATTTCAGACCTTTTGCCGCTCTCTGGCATGAGGCTTTATTTTGAAAGAATAAAGATCAAATTATAAGCACTTTCTTCAACTTCTTCAAATCAAAGAGAGACGCATTAAAAATTACCATGTGGCTAGACAATTGCGCGGCCCAAAATAAAAAAAATGGCCCAAATTTTTACTATATATGGTAAATTCAAATGAAATTGCTGCGGACAAAATTGAAATTAAATATTTCGAACCAGGTAATACCTTTATGGCAGCTGGTTTATTCTATCACAACGTGGAGTGATAGATGAAGAGAATGAGAAAGCTGTATAACTTTCAATATTTGGTGCAAGCTGTCCAAACTGCTACTTGTCATACGGAACTCTTGTCAATGAAATTGGAGAATTGTTTCATGTTTCATGTTTATTCATCTCAGTATAAACTTTGTAAGGTGAATCTTAGAGATTACTTGTGCAAGTAATCTTTCAAAGAGGAAGGTATAAAATGAAGTATAAAAACGGTTTTTGGTGAATTTACAAAAAATAATGAATTACCAAAGCCTGAAATATGTAAAAGGGTAAATGGAATATTGCTTTAGAAAAAAAAAATAATGCTTTACAATATGGAAGGGATCATGAAGACACTGTTACA